AAAGGAAAAATTATAACACCTGCTTCAGATCCCAGCTGTCTAGCACCGATGGTTCCTATGGAAGGTCTATCCTAGAAATCACAAAATAGGAGTAAATGAAAGCATATTCACACATTGGATGATACAATTACCTTTAATAATATCTTTATACCAGACATGCAACAACAATTTAGCAGTGTACTGACAAAAAACTTTCACAAGCTTCCAAAAGCAAAATTGAAATAACCATCAAATTGCAGATGGAGAATAAGGGCGCTATGATGAAATATAAGTTGTGAAAAGAAACTTTCAGAATAATGACATTGTTCAGTCACAAAATCTACTGTAGAAAGTCTAATGTAGAGGAAACTCAAGTAACAAACTCCATATCAGGAGAGTCCATCTCAAAATGTCGTCCCAAGTGGTACATGCTCTCTCCCAGCATGCATGACAAATATGTTTCGTATCAACAACAAATCTAAAGTCCTTGAGCCCTCAACTCCTCATCAAATGATCAGTGCTCCTTTAGTATTCAAATTCCATAAACATTTTCACATCCTTGCATGCTCAATCTCCCATTGTTGTCAACAAGCAAATTAAGTCACTTTGTCTAGGCTATAAATAAAGAATACAATAAAGGAATATGAAATGCATGTGTAACTTATCCAGTAATGTCACTTATGATCCACTTCATCAATAGTTAACTTTCTTCATCAAGAAATTCAAATTTTGTTATTTTGTTTACCCTCTTTTGGTGTATTGGCAGTCACAAACCCTATTAAACAACCATTTCCACCTACACTTTTCCCTTCCAAGGAAAAGAATACATTCTTGCACCGAAAGTGCAATCTAATTACAAATATCTTATACCATGGAACAGAATAACTACTCATTCTGATGTTTCTTAATACACATACAATCAACACGTCATGACACTCATAAGCACAGATATATAATTCAGCACCAAACTCCTTCAAAGAAGACCGCAAGATTTCAGATAAAGAAAGACCTTACACTTGCATAGAAAATATATTTTGTAACATGCAAAGCCCCGACTTTATATGCAAATCATTAAGAATTTACTTCTAAGTGCATTGTGCTTTCAAATTTACTGATCTCTCTGAGAGACCATGTAAGCCAAGGTCAAATTGCAATCTTGTGTGTGTAAATGGGTCATTCGGTGATCAGCTTCGGTGCAGTAGGGGGGTCATTCACTCCAGGCCAGAGCCCCAATCGGAGCTGAAACACTGCCCTCACTAGGGCTCACTGCAGGGGAGAAGAAAAGGCCACTGCTCTAGGAATATGGCAAACAAAGCCTCTCAATCATAAGTTACCAGATTTATTTTTAAAAGAAAATATACAGTATAAGAATGGTTAAAATTTTGGATACAACTATTCACAATATAAATTTGCATTAACAAACAAATAACTAGAATATCTCAAATTCCAAAGGTCAAAAACTACCACTAAGGAAGACCTTGATGGAATTTGAACTCCAATAGTGCCGTGCAAACTGGTCAAATCTGCAGGCCTTCTACTGCAAGAATCAGAAGAACCTCCAAAAGTCTGAATATTGTGAGAATCCAACATAACGTCCTCTTCTTCGTAACACTATCATCGAACCCTCTACCCCTTTGGACTGAAGAAAATCTCATCTCCTCGTCAATATCAAAATTATCATGAAGATCAAAGCCTCTCTCCTGGCAGAAATTCAATATGCAAATCATGAGAAATTTGAGGGAATTTAATGAAGGGAAAAAATAAAATAAGAGGCAAACAATTGATATTACGAAAAGTTACCTCTGCAAAATGAAGATCCTGGGTCTCCCTCATTCTCTCTTGCTATTCTCATGGCTTCCCTCGCATACTCTCTCATTTGAGGACCTCTTTCGAGCTTTGTTGTGTAATGTTCCTCATTGAAATTACTTTTACACCAAATAAGTTTTGGTTGGCTTCAAACTGATCCCAGTTCCTAATTAATGCAATTATGTATGTGTGTGTACATCGATAATTATTAGTATCACGAAATAGAATATTGCAAATATTAAGTGAAACACGCACACACATGATTATCAAAATGTGAATATTTGCTGCAAGATTTAAACAGAAACTCCATAGCAACTAATCTTTCAGAAACAAATATTAATCTAGAAGCTACACAGCAGCTCCATGTTTTTTCTTGACACCTTGATTCTCTCCAATACTAACTAAACTCATTAAGCAACATTTCCCAGACTAGAGTAATATCAAATCTTGAAATTCCTAAAATCTTTCCTCCAAGCTATTTATTGAAGGAAAATAAGGCAAGACAATAAAAAAAAGGAACCGAGTTTGGTATATAGAAACAGAGATTGCAGTAGATATAAGAAAAATACGTTGGATGCAAGTGCCTAAAATAATAAGACGACGGAAAAATAAAACAATCATATGACATTTTCAAAAGAGAGAACATTATTGCAACCTATTCCATGGGCTGTCAAAAACATATTCTAGTTCAGGCACCGTGGATCATCTTCACCAGGAACCCAGGGCTCTAAAACCCTCCCCACCTCAACATGATGGGACTGTGATATCGCAGAATCTATCAAAAGTTCCTCATGTTTTTCGTGCTGAAGTCCATTTTTTGAACAACAAAATTAATGTAGAAGGTAAAATAAATAAAATAGGCCACATTCTGTGTTAACCAAGTTTTGATTTTCAAGTACCATTAACAAATATCTAACTGAAATAAACTATATAAAGCTTTTGAAAGCCTCACAAATTACTTGACATTTCATCTGTCACTAGCAATTGGGCCAGATATGGGGATGTAAAGAAGAGAATCAGAAAAAACTTCGCTATAACTTGCACAAGTTCTTTGGCAGGTACAATTAAAATCTTTGAGGGTGCCTTGCTAACAAACTGTGTTATAGGTTTGTTCGCCTCGCAAAGTACCATCTTTTATCAAGTGAGTCATTTTCAGGATGATTCCTGAAAAGGCAAGGAGTGGAAATGGATGTTAAGAAGCAAAAACATTTTATTCCAAAGTTCAATTACAGATGCATGATTACATCTAAAAAACCAAAATCAAATAATTGATCATACCAAAATCGTTTTCTGCATCAGTTGCATGAAAAATTCGATTGTAAACTGATCCATTTTTCACATGGACTTGAACCGGATACCCAATAAGACACATTGTCAGATAAACTAACAGATAACGGGAAGAACATTCATAACCTCCGGTCCTCCCACAAGCCAGATCACCTATACCAAGTAGTATTAGGTGAATATAATTAAATAGAAAGAAAATATGATTACAGAATGATGACCTGAAGTTTGTGTTCTTCCTTGATTGGATTTCGTGGACTGCACCTTGTTCTCCACCCTGTCCCCAACCTCTCTACCACCTCTTCCATGGCCAAATCCATTAGCAGAAGATCTTGGCGACATAGCTTGTTGCATATTCATCTTCGAAGAAGGAAAAAAGTAAAAATAATTTTTTTACAGTATAATTCGAACTTTCAAGATTTAATTCTAAAATACCAGCACTTATGATATCAAAACCAATTGGTGATAACAATAATTAAGTGGGCTTAGAAACCAGTGAATCATATAACCTAAATATTATGCCAATAACAGAACATATCTCTTCTTTCTTGTGTAGGTCCATGAAAAGCATGCATGCATGTGTTTGAATAAAAAATGAAAAAGCAAGGTGGCAACAACACCAATGCTAAATTTTTTTGGCTCTCTTTCAATCTTATTGACCATAAAACATTTTTTCCTTTAACCCACAGTGGACCAAGATTTAACAATACACCAATATATTGTCTTTAAATTGTTAATCCAAAACTTTTAACCCAGTAATGTAACTTAAACCTCTTGGGATAAACAGTAATTCAATCCCATCTTCAACAAATCACTTGTTATTTATGTATAAATATCTCCATTTATTCAAAATACATACGAGGCATATAATGCTCTTCTAAATGATGTTACCAACAATATATACACTCATCTCACGCTACATGTTAACACCAATTGCAGGAGGTCAGAAAGCTCTCATGACAAGAATGACAACAGTTGCTAGAGCATGAACTCTTTATTTTCTAGCCAATAAAAGCTTAGCTTGCTTGAACAAAACTCAAATGAAACAACTGATCGCTAATCTTTAGTTAGAAGTTCACAGATTGCATTGGCCTTATCAAATAAATACGGCATGGTAACAGCAAATTGAACTTAATCACAGATATATTTGGAATTTATGTGGAATGACTAGAATAAATAAATTACCTTACAAAATAAGCCCAATCCAGACTTCTAGTTCATAAGAAATTAACTAGTCATTTTAAAAAAAAATCTTAATGTTCTGAAATACTTGATAGCTGACTAAATAGGGAACAATTTTAGCTACCCTTTTCCCTATGAACCAGCATACAGATAGCCGAACATTATTCTTTGAATTGAGAAGACCAACCTCAAAACCAAACAACCAGGCCACAAATGCAAACGTATAAAGATCAAGTCTACTACAATGTCTCGAATAAGAAATCAAAGCAAAGCAAATCCAAATAAGATATAAGCATCAATCAACGAGTCAAAAAATACATGCAATTTACGTAATTGGAAAATGAAATTTGCATCTCTAGAACCCTAAATGAAAATTCATATATGTCACAAACTAGTGATGGAAAATGATAGAAGAGAAGATTTTAGAAGAGAAGAAAGATTGAAGAAGAAGAAATTCATTCAAATTGATCATCATATGTTTTCTGTTACAATATTGATGCATATATATTCTATTACAATATTAATAGTCAAGTATTTGTTTACATCTGTCAATAATCTTGTCTGGTAGCATAACAGACTAGTCCTTGGCTGGATTTCTTCTAACAACATTCTCAGTGGGCTCCGTAAATGGGTTGTTTCCTGGTCTAGTGAATTCTTCAGCTACATTATCTATATGGGCTTCTTTCTCGGGCTGCTCCATATGTTTATCCTTAACATTCATCTCAGGTAAGCATTTAACCCCACCTTCCTTTTCCCCGATTCTTTTCTTTTTTCCCTCAATTCGTTCCTCTCTCAATCCCTAGCTTCTGGCAGTTCATTCCTTTCTCAATCCCTAATTTCTGATTTTTCAATTTTCCCAATTCAGTGAGCCCCAACTCCAATTCCTCCCCAAATATTCTCCCTATTTCTCATTTGGCCATGTCAATACCTCCCCCTTCAGAAGATCTTTGTCCACAAGGATCAAAATATGGAAATTAGGCTCGTAAAATAGTGTAGTCTTCCCACCTTGCCTCTTCCATCCCCAAATTCATCCATTGAATCAGGAGCTGTGTAACTGCCTGATAATTTCTTTTCATTATCCGTTTGTTTAACACCGCAGATGGGTATACCTTCAAATGACATCAACGTTCATCTCAGGCGGATCGAGAGGTAATCGTCTGCTCACCCACTTTCTTTTTTAAAAGACTTACATGGAAAACAGGGTGTATTTTTGAATGGTCAGACAATTTGAGTTTATAAGCCACTGGTCCCACTCGTTGAATCACTGTGTAGGGACAAAAAAACAAGCAACAAGTTTTAAGTTCTTGCGAAGTTCTAGGGATGTTTATTGGTATGGCTGAAGTTTAAGGTAAACACGATCCCCCACCTAAAACTCTTTATTTTTGTGCTTTTTATCTGCATAAACTTTCATTCGCACCAGAGCCTTCTGTAGCTGATCTTGTAAAAGTTTGTTCATAGCATTTCTCTTATCTAACAACTCATGTACTGTTTGGACCACAGACTGACCACCCCAAGATAGAACTTGAGGTTTATACCCATATATAGCCTCGAAAGGGGATATACCCAGAGTAGTGTGAAAGTTGGTGTTGTACCACCACTCTGCTTGTGGTAACCAGTCAACCCATGTAGTAGGTTTAAGAAAACACATGCTCCTTAGATATTGTTCCACATACTGATTTACTCATTTTGTTTGACCATTGTTTCAAGATGATAGATAGTTCTAAAGTGAGTTTCAGTGCCCACTTGCTTCATAAATTCTTTCAAAAAAATACTTGTAAATTACTTGTCCCTGTCTGACACAAAGACTTGGGATGACCATGTAATTTGTATACTTGAGCCAAATAAAGCTTGGCCAATTCAGCTGCTGTATAGATATGTTTTAAAGAAATGAAATTAGCATATTTTGTAAATCTGTCCACAATCATCCATATGCAATTAAATTTCTTTGAAAGTGGCAATCCTTCAATTAAATCCATAGAAATCATCTCCCAAGCCTGATGGGGAATTGATAGTGGTTGTAGGAGACCAGCCTTGTGAGAATGTTCAATTTTTGTCGTTTGGTACACTTCACACTGACTAATAAATTCCTTGATCTATTTTTTTAATATGGACCAGTAAAAATAAAGTTGAACTCTATAATTTGTAGCTTGTATTCCAGAATGCCCTCATAAAGGGGATGTATACAAAAGGGACAAAATTTGGTGTCTCAATCCTTTAGTACCGCCCATATAAACCTTCTTGTTGAACCTCAAAACTCCCTGAGTAAAAGTCCACTGGCTCTGTGTACCTGTGCTGACACTCACTACTGTAATTTTATCATTTGCAAAGTCATCCTCTATATAACTCTTTTCAAGGTCTTGTACCCATTGTGGAACAATAGCTGTGACAGTTAACTATTGTAATTCAGCTTCAGATTTTCTGGACAAGGCATAAGCATTCAAATTATTTCTTCATTTTCTGTAAAGGATTTTATAATCTAATCCCAGAAGTTTAGTAAGTCCCTTATTTTGAATGGAAGTAGTTAATCTTTGCTCCATGAGGTGTTTAAGTGCCTCATGATCAGTCTTAATGACAAATGGAACCCCTTCAAAGTAGTGTCACCATTTAGCTACGGCCATAAGAATAACTAGGTACTCTCTTTCATACACAGATAGATCAGTGTGTTTAGGACTTAGAGCCTTACTCAAATAAGCTAATGGGTATCCATCTTGAGACAAAACAACCCATATACCCATAGAACTTGCATATGTTTCCAAGCAGAATGGTTTGCTAAAATCTGGCAAAGCAAGAATATGTACTTGGCACATGGCTGATTTCATAGTTTCAAAAGCTTCCTTAGAAGCAAGTGTCCAAGTGAAATTATTCTTTTTTAACATGCCAGTCAGTGGTCTGCTGATCATCCCATAGTATCTTATAAATTTCCTGTAATAGCCTGTGAGACCTAGAAATCCTCGAAGATACTTCAAATTGGTAGGTAATTTCCAATCTTTCACAACTGCAATCTTTTTTGAGTTAGTAGTTATACCCAGAGCTGAAATTATATGGCACAAATATTCCAACTAAGTTTGCCCAAAAAACAGATGTTTCTCTTAGTAAATAACTGATGCTTCCTCAAAATGTTCAAAACTATCTTTAGATGTGCTTTATGATCTTCCACAGACTTGCTATAAATAAGAATGTCATCAAAAAACACCAGAACAAATTTCCTTAAATATGGTCCAAAGACTTCATTCATAAGTGTTTGAAAGGTAGCTGGAGCATTTGTCAATCCAAATGGAATGACTTTGAACTCAAAGTGGCCATGGTAAGTTCGAAAAAGCAGTTTTCTCAATATCACCAGGTTTTATTCAAATCTTCCAATAACCAGATATGAGGTTGATTTTAGAAAAATGCTGAGAACCAACTAATACATCCAAAAGATCCTCTACCACCGAAATTGGAAATTTGTTTTTGATAGTCATTGAATTTAACTATCTATAATCAACATAAAGACTCCATGAACCATCTTTCTTTTTAACCAACAAGCATGGAGAGGCAAAAGGACTCTTGCTTGTTTGTATAATGGAAAAGGCTATCTTCTCCTTGATTTTTCTTTCAACTTCTGCCTTTTGATGATAGGGAAAATTGTATGGGCGTAGGTTAACAGGTTAACCACCTTCTTTAAGAATAATGGCATGATGTTGGCATCTCTCAGGTGGCATACCTTCGGTTCAGCAAAAACATCTGTATAATTTTGTAGTATAGGTTGTAATTATGCTGGAATAAAAAATTGGTCCTCTTCAGAAATCATTAAATATAATTCACCAGTAAAATCCACATCTTTAGAAACCATTCTCTGCAATCATAAAGTAACTTAACAGTTGGCAGCCTTTTTCTCCTTGTAATAGGATTTTTTTGGCCATCATTCTTAAATGTCAATGTCAATTCATTAAAATCCATCAAAATTGGACTGTACTTATGCATCCATTCAACTCCTAAAACCATGTCACTACCTCCTAGTTCTAATACTCACTTGTAAGAGTATTGTAAAGTTTCTCCCCATTTGCTACAGTGATTGAAAGGGGTTTAGTTGAAAGAACCTCTACCCCTTCTTTAGCCCAACTAGTAGTTACAAAACTACTGGTGCTACCATTGTCAATCAAGATATTTAATGGTCACCATTTTACAGTACCCTGAATGTGTAAAGTAGCAAAGATAGCCTGGCCAGTTAAAACATTAATAAAAATCTCCAAGTTTTTTTCTCCTTGAATTTGAACAGAAGATTTTGATAATTCTTCCTGTTGATCAATCTCCTTATCACATTTTCCAAAACTTTCTCTTCTTCCGTACAATTTAATTGTTTCATTTTACATTGGTGTCCCGGAGTAAACTTCTCTCCACATTTAAAACAAAGGTTGTTAGCCCTCCTATAATCCATGAGAGTCTGTTTAGTATTGGCATGAGGAGTATTATACTTTGACTGATTTAATGTAAAAGGATCCTCATCAGAGAATTCTGGTTAGAATTATAGAAATTCCTAACAGGAGGTTTAAACATTTTACTTTCAATTTCTAGAGCAAGTTCATGAAGTTTAGTTTGTTTAAATGTGGCCACCAAGGACTTAGGTTTATGTGCTCGAATTTGTGTTTCAATCCATCCTTTAATCCATAGATGAAGCTAGAAATGAATTATTCTTCCCCAAGGTAAGGATTTTGTTGTATGATAAAAGGCATCAGTTCATCAAAACGTTCTTGATATTCTTCCACAGTACCTATCTGAAGTAATTTGTTAAATTCATCCATAACATCAATAAATTTTCTACTGCCAAACCTATGACACAAATCAGCCTCAAACTCAAGCCAAATTACCTTATATTTGTGCATAAGATACCCATCAAACCATGTTTCAGCTTTCCCAATCAAATACATAGAAGTTATTTCAACTTGTTGAAGTTCAGGGATAGCAAAAATTCTGAAATACTTTTGACATTTTTGTAGCCAACTCATAGGATTTGAACCATCAAAGAACTGAAGTTCAATCCTCGGTCTAGAAAATGAAATAGAAGCCCCAACATTAGCAGGAACATCACTGGAATGCTCACCTGATTCATCTCCAGTAGTACCCAGTCGCAAAGATTGAGTAGTTGGCATGGTATGTTCATATGGCTTAGCAATAGGCTTAGATGTCAAAATTCCTGGTTCTCCGGGTTTAAAAGAATATCTTTCATGTTCATTAATCATAGTAACTTCAAAAGGTTTCTTACCTACTGATTTTTATGCAGGTAAATCAGCTTTATTTTTGCTACTTGTTGGAGTTAGTTGATCATCTTCCTTTGTGGTTTTGGCTATCATCTAAAGAATCCGCTGAAGATAACCTCTATTCTCCGTAGATTGAGCTTCCAATGTAGATAAACGTTCATCCCAGTTGTCTCTTTGAGCTGTCCACCACCTTGGTACTTCTTCTGGCGCAACCTCAGGTATAATTTTTGTTGTATCGGTCAGATTGGTTTCAACCATTTTTGTAGTTTTTTTAGGTATTCCAAAAAAATCGCTTTCGATCAAAAGAATTGGCTTTGGATACCAAATGTCACAAACTAGTGATGAAAATTTATAGAAAATTCAGCAAAAATCATGAAAGGGCTGGAAATGATGTAGGAAGTATTCTAAAAGCTTTAAAAAAATTGGGGACCATTCTATAATTTTTGAAATGTTGGGGGACTAATTTGATAATTTTGGAAAAGTTGTGAATGATTGTGTAATTGCCTAATAGTTGATGTACTATGCTGGAAATTTCTGTTTTGGAATTGAAGTGAGTGTTTAAATGTGAAATATGATAATTTTTGGAAGTTTGGTGTCTTAAACGAAATATTCAAATAGTTTGGAGTACTTATCGGTAATTATACCTTTTATATGTACTTGGGTGGTAATTATTTCAATGCTGAAATTTTGGTACTAAAACTTTGAGTGGTAAAATGGTAGAGGACCATTTTATATAAGTTGTAAAAGTTGGTGTCAAAATTAAAAAGGATTAATAAGTCTTAAAATATTTGTTAGTGAATAAGTTTCAAGTATGAATATGGATTAAATGGAATTTGAATGGTCTTGGAAGTGTTAAGGTCAACATTTATGTTGTGACAAGGGAATTGTATTGAATAAGCATTGGGAAATTTGTTAAGAATTTATTTTCCAAAGTATGCCTATGTTAGTAAGATTCTAACATTTGGTTTGAATTTGTGTATATTTGGTAATGATGTCCATTTAGAGATTGGGTGCTTGAAATCAAGATCAAATATTATTAAAGCTAATGAGAAACTTAAGGATGAAATGAAAAATCCCAATGAAGGTTGCGAGCTAAGGACACCGGGTGAGTGCAAATTTAATTTGTACTTATGTTATCAAACAAACATTGGCTTGCGATAAGCCAGTGACGGAGTTACTTTGGTAAGAAGTGACTACTAAAATGTTATTTGATTTGTGATATATGCATATATGTGCATTTGGTGAGCTAATAGAATTAGTGAACAAGTTGAAAATCAAATTGGTGAAATCTGATTAGAATTTATGTTTTGGACAATAAATTTAGAAAATCACTATAAATTCTAAAATAATGATTAAAGGATTATTTTTATAACTTTGGACTAATATACCAGTCTAATTTTATTTATAACAAGCAGAAATTGATTTCGGGGTGTCTACAAAAAGATATGAATTTTTAACCGTGGAAATGTCAGAAAAACGGGGCAGCAGATTCTGCAAAAAACAAATTTTGTCAGTCAACTTTGAAAATTTACCATAAATTGTACAAAATGAACTAGAAGGATTTCTTTATATGCATAGATTCATATTTGAGTCTAGTTTCCATTGGTATAATCAAAATAATTTTCAAAGGTGTATATTAATACAAATAATATTTCTTTAAAGGTAGTACAATCTGCCAGGATATGAAATTATGCCAAATTTCGGGATTTACACAAATTAGAAACAAAGGATCCAGTTAAAGCTTAGTTTGACTTATATTTTGACTTGCATATAATGTAAAAATGAGTGTAATTCATGCATAACATGATACATGGATGTTTTATACATCATTGGGTAAGATTTGCGATAAGTCTACCTTGTTTATGTTGACATGATATCTATGTCATTTATCATGTATTTGACATATTCTAAATATGTCAAAGGTTGAATATAAAATGCATCGATCATTGTTTTTTACATATGATATTTATTATGAATGATATTTCAGGTATGAACTGCCCAATGTTAAATTATGATAATATACTTTGCCATGGATGGATCAGATACAATAGAATATTTGCCCAAGTAAGTCGTTGAGGGACAGGGTATAGTTGGCATGCCATAAGTCCAGCAGCAAGTTGCATATTCAGGATTGCACTAAAGTATTAGTGCATATGGCGGGCACGACTTTATGTGTCATATTCGAGATTGTACTTAAGGATACTTAATACATATGGTGGACACGACCTTATGTGTCATATTCGGCTTAACACTACGATGTTTATTTATATTGACTCGTGTACCCAGGGTCCTCAGGGTTTAAATTGGGCTATGGTTTATTGGTTAATAAATGGTAAGCATGCAAATAAGCTTAAGAGCTTATAGGATAAATGGTAAGTATATTGGTAAGAAACTTGATATCCGGTTATATCATTTTTAATATATGGTAACATGGTTGGAATGTAGGTAAAGTGATCATATGACATTAAATATGTTCATTCATTTAAATTTATTTGTTGCATTACTTTAAATATTATGATTGCCTCACTAAGTGTATAACTTAGCGTGTGATGATTTTCAAGCGTAGGAAAAAGGAAGAAAATGAGTAAGGAGTTGAGCTTGGCATCAATCACCAAGGGAATATTTACAGGTAACAATGATGACATCATACTGTGTTATAAAAGTCTTAGTTGGCATGTATACAAGAATGAAATGTTTGAAATTTCTTAATATAGTTAGTATTAAATATAATTAATAGTATGAATAAATATTATGATATTAAACAATGTTTTTTAAAAAATAAATTAATTTGGGTTTTAAATTAAACTTGGTGGAGAGTCGTATTTCTTTTATGAAATAGAATAGAACTGTCTATCACTGCTTGAAACTAGTTATATTTGAATGAAACAAAATTTTACTCAAGTTAAATAAAGAAATGTTTTGAATCTTTGATGTGACATCTAAAACTCGTATTGGTTCGCGTATACGGGTTATGGGTGTTACAAATATAATTATGGAGCTTCATAATATCACATTAATTCAAGTCTTTAGAAGTATAATCTTGATCGAAAGTGAGTGTTATGTTTTTTAAAGATATTGTTATATTTATAGAACTTGGCAGATGAATCTTGGTATAAGTGATTGGAATTCAAGAATTTGATTTTGTAAGGCTAAGTTCAAATCCTACCATCGTCACTTTTGGCGACCAATCTGTAAATTCCTATGTAAATCTCTATTGGATCTTAGTATGCCCTGACCTTGAACTGGAGGAACAACCTAAGTAAAAAAAATAGTTATAGAAGTTGTAAAATATGTGTATAAAACATACTTATCAAAAGAAAGATATAGTTGTTGATCAATTAGAGGCACTAGTAGCCAATTATTCTATTTATGAGTGTGAATAAAATGAGTTTGAAGGAACAAACTTTTATGTTTATTTATTTTTAAAGTGTTAATGTTCAATTAATGTTCGTTTAAAATTTCAATATCATATTTCATGTTCATTTAATTATATTTCAAATATATTCATGTTTGTTCGTTTAATGGTGGTGAACAGGTCCATTCAACATTTGTTTAATGTTCAACGTTGAACACTAGGTTTAATCTTTTTATTTGCGAGCTAAAGAAAAATAGTCAAATTACAACATTAGTTCTTAAGTTTTTTAGACATCAAAATTTACTTTATATTCGATATAGTCTATATCTTTACTAACATTTAAAATCTAAATATTAAAAGGAGAAGGAGAATCTTCATAAACGAGTCAATAAATAAGTTTGTTTGTTAACATAAATGAATTGAACATACATTTGTTAATGTTTGTTCGTTTTTTAAATGAACATAAAAATTTTATTCATTTTTATTTATTTAACTTAATAAAGTAACATAAATGAATGTTATATGAATAATTCACGAATAATTTGTCGAACACTCTGTAGACACCCGTTTTGTCCAAGATTTTTATTGTTTTTATTTTTATTGTAAATATAATTATTAAATATTAATTTAATTTATTATTTTGTTATTTTGTAGGCTATTACAAATAACCAATTTGGGTCCATGCAAGCCCAAGATCATTACAAGACCTATTGTTCCCTCGCCCAAATCAATTGAAAGCTCATCTTTAGCCCAAATATCTTCAGCATCTTTTTCCATCCAGTACATGACAGTAGCATCACATCAAGCCAACAACCGAGCTACATCTGTCTTAACCACCTTGACAGCTCACATTTCCAACACCAATGGTCTTGAGCCTTATCACAAGCAAAATAACAGACGTTTCCATGCTTATCTCCTGGAAGAAAAATGGTTATGGGGAGGGGTTAGCATAAAAAGGAAAATAATTGGAACATTTCGGGGGAGGGAAGCAAAGAAAAATCGAGAGGAGGAGGCCATTATCTTTCGTGAGAGAGTATTTTTTATCAAGGAAAAGAGAGAAACAATTTGTAAAAGGGACTGGGTGGTCTTCTTCTACCATATTTGAAAAAGAAAAAGATGTATTTGGCTCCCAATAGTCAATAAACAAGCAGTGTAAGCAAAGGGTTTTGCTCCCTTTGTTTTTGGTGAATTAACAGTAAGTAATAGCAATTTATTGAGGTATTCGATTTTATTGTTGATTTCCAGTGTGTGAGTGTGTTGTTTCGAAATAAAAAAATGGGGATACTCTTTTCATTTTTTTTAGTAAAGCAATACCAATACAAGTTTTTTTAAAGGTTTTTTATTTTATTTCTAGCAACCATTTTTTATTTTTTCCTTGATTTGAAATACATAATAAAGAGGGGTGGGGTTCGATTTGTTTACCCGAGAAGTTCGGGTTTCCTTACGGGAGTCTACCATACTTAGGTGAGGTTACCGTCATCGACGAACGACGGTTTGCATGTTGGTTTAGTTGCTGGAATTCAAGGAATGGAAGGGTCGGCCTCCCTTAGTAGCCATTCAAGAGCTTAAGGAGTGAGATAAAAAAAACAACATATAGATGTTAAGAGTGGTCCAAAGTATATAAGGAAGTTAAGAAGAAAGGTTTATCTTACCTGTGTTGCCTTTCTTCTCGGCGGATTAAGAGCTAGTCGTCGGGGTCGGTTCTCAACAATCAAGTGTCTTTAGGTTGCATAGGGGGTTTCATTTTTGGTATTTTGTTTCTGGAATTTATAGCATAGAAGAGAAGGGCTTTGGGTTATTCGATGGTCTAAGGTTGGTTCAACGCTGATTCACGGTGGTTTTATTCATTTTGGGTCTCTATTGAGTGTGGAAAGAAAGAGTGGAGAAGAGAGGGCTTTTAAATGGATTATGTTGGTCGTTTGGGTTTTGTGTGGTCATGATAGGTGGTGACCGAAGTAAGGGAGGCCACCGGCATACGGTGACCGGTGTGAAGAGCTTTGGAGCTCTCAGTGAAAAAGAAGAGAGGTCAAGAGGCGGCTGCGTGGGTTTGGAGAGAATATGAGTAAAAGATTGAAATTATAATTAGGTTTGGTTTTTGATTTTGTTTTAAATTAGTGAAATTAGCTTTATATTAGAGTTTATTGGTAATTTTGCTTTAGGTCCATGTAAATTAGACTCTTATTTAGATCTTAGACACTAGATTTAGGTTGATTTGATTTTTATGGGCCTTTAGGTGCTATTTCTCCTTTTTATTTTGTTTAGAACTGGCTAAATCATGTTTTAAATCCCCATAAATTTGCCTTGTTTTTTTATTTAGGTCACTGTCATAATTTCGATCTCTCATGCTTAATTTAGTTTCACTTTCAATATAGTCATTATGTCAGAATTTGCTGAATTCATTTAAATTGGGTCCTCGAATTTTGTTGTTGTTTTTTATTTAGTCCTTATATTTAGATTTTAGATATTTAGTCTTAATTTAGATTATTTTATTTTATTTTTTAGATTAATTCATTAAATTTAAATTTATTTTAAATTAGTCCATTGTTAGGTTTGTTTTCTTTAATTAGGTGTTTATATTTATTTCTCTTGATGATATGTTTACATAGGTATGAGTATGCAAATAATTCATTAGTAAATTGCATGACATCTTTTTTATAACAATTGTATATTATCTTCATATGCATAACTCGATATAATTACATAATTGGATTAAGGGTAATATCCTTTTAATTTAATATTGTTAGAATGGCTTGTCTTAACTCACTAGAGAGTCGTTTTCGACGATTTTAAATTAAAAGTGTATCCCATTATTGACACTTAAAAAAATGGTTTGTCATCTTAAAACTTGGGATTGAAAGAAAAAAATATTCAGTTATTTAACTTTTTCGAGAAAATGTTGTTAGAACTTATCTAAGATATGGTCTCGATATTTTTAAATAATTGAATATTCTTCATCTTTCTAATAAGGCTGAGTAATTTTAATTTAATCTATTTTGATGCATGTGAGTATTATAATGGAATTATAATATTTCTTTATTTCGATTGAAGTAAGAATTAATTACCTCAGGTTATGAGGGATTTATTTCTTATCAATATGAAATAATTTAATATTATTATATTTCATGGTAAAATTCATATTTTGGTTGTTTTATGGGATCAAAAATTAAATTAAATTAGAATTTGTAATTTTCTTTGCAAAGACATTAATTAATCGATTAGGTACCAATTTAGGGCGCTGTAGGGGTGCTAATCCTTCTCCACGCATAACAGACTCCTGAACTCGATTTTTGTTAACGCATACCTCAACTTGACGTTGTAATTTAAATTATTTTTTATTTAAAATGACAAAAAGTTTTTGGGTACCCAATCACACCCTAATCAAATATTGGTGGCGACTCCTCGAACCGTACGTTTTTATTTTAAAAAGGAATCCCAAATTTTTTGAAACAAGAGGTTTTTTAAAATCATATTACTTTTTAATTAAAAATTAATCAATTAAAAGGTAAATTAAAATTTGGTGTGGTTTTCAAATCTCATTTCTCACTTTTTAAGAGAAAAAATTGTTTCGATAGCTTGGTGATTCCGCTGGGAACATTTTTTAGAGAGTCAGGTCGATAGTCAATTAGTTAATTGTCTTTGCAGATGAAAGTTATAAATTCATTCTAATTTGGTTTTTGATCCCTTGTTTGGTTTTAAATAAGTTTTGTTTTCATTCTAATTTGTAATTTGATTAACAAATAAATAGTTGTAGTAACGTGTGATTTACTTGTTTAAGCTTTCTGGCCTTTACTTTAGTTTGTTGTTTTTTTGGATCGAAGCAGAGGATTATGAGTTCCCCCCACTATCGCTATAATCTTTCGATATTTAAAGCCTTCTAATTGTGCTCTGTCCCTTTAGGTAGAGGCGAACGCTACGCTTGTGTGAGAA